GTGTGTTGGTGGTTGTATTAGTTGTGGAGTTTGTTGGTGGTGTTGTGTGTTGGTGGTGGGTATGTTGGTGGTGAAGTGTGTTGGTGGTAGAGTGTTGGGGTGGAATATGTTGGGGGTGGAGTGTGTTGGTGGTTGTGTTTGTGGTGGAATATGTTGGAGGTTGTGTTGGTGGTGGAGTGTGTTGGTGATTTTGTTTGTGGTGGAATGTGTTGGAGGTTGTGCTGGTGGTGGAGTGTGTTGGTGGTTGTTTGGTGGGTGCGTTGGCGCTGGAGTATGTTGGGGTGGAGTGTGTTGGTGGTTGTGTTTGTGGTGGAATGTGATGGGGGTTGTGTTGGTGGTGGAGTGTGTTGTTTGGTGGCTTTGTTTGTTGGGGTGGATGTGTTGGTGGTTGTGTTTGTGGTGGAATGTGATGGGGTTGTGTTGGTGGTGGAGTGTGTTGGTGATTTTGATTGTGGTGGAATGTGGAGGTTGTGGTGGTGAGTGTGTTGGTGGTTGTTTTGGCGCTGGAGCATGTTGGGGTGGAGTGTGTTGGTGGTTGTGTTTGTGGTGGAATGTGATGGGGTTGTGTTGGTGGTGGAGTGTGTTGGTGGCTTTGTTTGTGGTGGAATGTGTTGGAGGTTGTGTTTGTGGTGTGATAGGGGAATGGCAGGAGTGAGGCTTTATTGGTGGAACGTGATAGGGTTGTGTTGGTGGTGGAGTGTGTTGGTGGTTTGTTTGTGGTGGAATGTGTTGGAGGTTGTGTTGGTGGTGGAGTGTGTTGGTGGCTTTGTTTGTGGTGGAATGTGTTGGAGGTTGTGCTGGTGGTGGAGTGTGTTGGTGGTTGTTTGTGGTGCGTTGGAAGCTGGAGTATGTTGGGGTGGAGTGTGTTGGTGGTTGTGTTTGTGTGGAGTGATGGGGGTTGTGTTGGTGGTGGGAGTGTAAGCTGGTGGCTGTTTGTAAGTGCGTTGGCGCTGGAGGGTGTTGGGGTGAGGTGTTGTGGTGTGTTTGTGGTGGAATATGTTGGAGGTTGTGTTGGTGGTGGAGTGTGTTGGTGATTTTGTTTGTGGTGGAATGTGTTGGAGGTTGTGCTGGTGGTGGAGTGTGTTGGTGGTTGTTTGGTGGGTGCGTTGGCGCTGGAGTATGTTGGGGTGGAGTGTGTTGGTGGTTGTGTTTGTGGTGGAATGTGATGGGGGTTGTGTTGGTGGTGGAGTGTGTTGGTGGCTTTGTTTGTGGTGGAATGTGTTGGAGGTTGTGTTTGTGGTGGAATGTGATAGGGGTTGTGTTGGTGGTGGAGTGTGTTGGTGGCTTTGTTTGTGGTGGAATGTGATAGGGGTTGTGTTGGTGGTGGAGTGTGTTGGTGGCTTTGTTTGTGGTGGAATGTGTTGGAGGTTGTGTTGGTGGTGGAGTGTGTTGGTGGCTTTGTTTGTGGTGGAATGTGTTGGAGGTTGTGTTGGTGGTGGAGTGTGTTGGTGGTTGTTTGGTGGGTGTTTTGGCGGTGGAGTATATCTTCTATTATTCCTTTCTTCTTCTTCTTCTTCTTCCTTAATTCTCTGCTCCTCCACCCCATTGTTCTCTTCTTTCTCCTCCTTCTTCTCCTCCCTTTTCTTCTTATTAATTTCAACTTTCTTCTTTTCCCCGTCGTTCTTCTCCTGCTACTCCTCCTTTTCCACCCCCTTCTGCTCCTCTTTCTCCTCCTTTTCTTCTTATTTAATTCATCTTTCTGCTTTTCCTCGTCGTTCTTTTCCTTCCGTTACTCCTCCTCTTCCTTCTCCTTCTGTTCCTCAACACTATCATTGATTTTATAATTTAACAAAGATCAGCCTAACTGTTACCAATGGCAACCCTAACGGCCTGCAAGAAACTTGGACGAGTTCAGCACTTGTGAACACTGTGTTGTTGCCTCTGCTTTAAAAGTTCCTTCTTCTTACCTCAAGTTACCTGGAAGTTTTTATCCTTCAGGTGATCCAGCCTGGTAAATACTGGTTATATTGTTGTATTATCTTACGGTGATAAAATTATTTTCAGGTGATCCGGCAAGTTAAATACTGAAGACATTTTCATATAGTACTGTAATGGTAAAATGCTCTTCGATCCTCTAGATAAATATAACTACAGTTAAGGATCCGTTATATACCTGTAGTTTCTGAGACCTTCGAGGAAAATATCTAAGCCTTTGAACAGTTCCTCCAAGTTCTCATCATTCAGAACCATGAAATTTATTCAAGATCAAGTTTCAAACTTTCCAAGAACTGCTCAAACGAATCTCCTTTCTAACATCACCTAAGCCTTTAAAGATTAATTATCAAAGTAACTTTAAAATTTTAAACTACATTTGATCAATTATAAGACATCACAGGCTGTCTGATTGTTAAGAATGAAACGTAACTGGGTTATTCTTCAAGATTTTATATTACTAACAAAAGCGAAGACTTGAAAAGACAGTTCTCTAAGTATACAGTATATAAAATGCTCCATCACCTACAAACATATAGTACAATAGGGGGCAGTGAAATTTTGCTCAAAGCTGCACTCTTCAGGCATTGTTCCTTATACATATCTAAGACTCCATGCCAAATTTGAAGCTGATATGTCGAGGTTTAGTCTGCCGCATTTTCTACTGAAATTTTTAAATTTACCTACAGTACTAGCCAAACAGCCGCTGTGGCGGTGCAATGTTCTGTTCAGTGTTTATCAACTTTTTTTTCATATCTCTTATTTCATTTAAGTTGTCTTGTTGCAGATGAGTATGGTGCTATGTCTATATTGATTATCAGCCTTTTCTCATTTCATTTCTCAATGTTGTGTTACTGTACTGTAATGTAGGGGAGACCTGGCTGCCGCTTGTGACCGATACTTGATTAGTGATTATGCTGGAGCTGCCATTGCTACTGCCACCTTAACTGACTATGGCATTATCACAAAGGATGACAAGAGTCAGGTTATTGGACCACATAAGCTGCGGGATGCGAGACAAAAATACCGATTTAAGAGGCAAGAAATTGAGATGGCTAGTTTAGATAATTTGACGTCACTCTATTTTGATGGTAAGAAGACCGCCACTCGTGTGATGATAAAGAATGAGAAGACCGAGAAATGGAGTTCGAGGATGATGGTGAAAGATCATTATGTCATCATGGTTGAGCCTGGCAATGAATATCTCACACATGTGACTCCCAAGACTGGACACGGAAAGCAGATTGCCAAAACTATTCACGAGTTTCTGGTGGAGAAAAATCTAACCCAGCAGCCCATTGTGTGTGTTGGTTGTGATAGAACCAATGTAAATGAAGGAACAGAAAATGGAGTCATTCATCATCTTGAAATGTTACTTGGTCACCCGCTCCATTATTTCATATGTCAGCTTCACGGAAATGAGCTGCCTTTCCGCGCAGTTTTTTATCACTATGATGGTAAACCAAGTGGTCCTGAGCATTGGCGTGGTCCCATTGGAAAGCAGATCAAGGAGTCTTTGTCTGAGCTTCCAGTTGTCGCCTTCCAGCCAGTCAGTTTCCCTGATTTCCCTGTGTTTAATGATGAAGTGGAGAAAGATCTGTCCTGGGATCAGAAATACCTGTATAGGATTTGTAAAGGAGTTATCACAGGTGTTGTTGAAGATGACTTGGCTGCTATTGAGCCAGGTCCTCCCTGTGTGTCAAGGTGGAACACCTTATGGAGTAGAATCCTCAGGCTGTATGTAGCAACATCAAGACCCAGCCATGAGTTGAAAAGAATTGTCATTACAATAATAAAGTTCAGTGCTCCAATGTGGTTTTACATCAAGATACACCCTTACGTAACACACGGCTCAAGGAACGTATTCCAGTCCCTGCTATATATGAAACACCTGAATAGTGAGGAGGAGACGATAGTGAAGAAGGCTGTCCAGAGAAATGCATACTTCGCCCACACAGATCAACTTCTTCTTGGTATGTGTGCAGATGAGGACATGACTGTTAGAGAAAAAGCTGTCTCAATGATAAGAAAAATTAGAGAGGAGAATCAGCAAAAGGAAGAATGCACTGGCAGATCTGAAGAGGAGGAGGAAGATTCTGATGCTGCTGTTGACGAGAATTTGTTAAACTATACTGATGAGGAGGGTAAAGATGGAGATGGGAATGAGGATGTGCCTCCTGTAGTCAACATGAGAAAGGTGGTGACTCCGAAACTAAAGTGGCAAGCAAAAAACTATCATTCCATGATTAACTGGAGGAATGAACTCAAGACTGAGCCTCCTTACATTGCTTCTCTGTCAAATCTACAGGTTAATGACATTCTTGAGACACCATTAGTGGTGCCCAAGTGGCCAAACAGCACTCAGGCGGTCGAGAGAGGCATAAAAGTGATGACTGAAGCTTGCACTGAAGTGACGGGATACGAATCGAGAGATGGATATATTAGGCAAAGATTATTGTCTAGGAAAATGATGCCAAGGTTCCGCACAAAAAAGAATTTCAATATGAACTTGTAATGATTTTCTATACGGTGTACCTGTAAAATAACATGTGAATTAAATCGATGTCACCCATGTAAAATTTATCATTATCCTGGAAAACATTAAATGACACCTAATTTTTGGTATACACTAAAAGTTGACAAAAAGTCGTTCGCGATGCGGCAGGGTAAGTATGCATGAAATGGCATGAAATTTTGCACAGGTGTTTGTTACAGCCATACAAACGATGCCTGAAAAGTGCAGCCTGCAACTCAAATAAAAGTGTTTTTTCCCTGCCCCCTATAGTACAACCTTGGAGCACCATTTAGGTGGTCCGGGAACTGTGGCATAACATTAGTGGGGTCAACAACACACTAATAAATCTCCCAAATGTTGAGGTTAAACTCCCTCGGCAGTATGTGTCATTTGTATCATTTTTGCCATGTGTCACCTATGTCATCTCTGTCACATGTGCCACATGTGTTATCTGTGTCACATATATCATCTGTGTCTCCTGTATGATATGTGCCATACGCATGATGTGTCACCTGTAACACCCGTGTCATCACTGTCATCTGCATCATCTGTCTCATGTGTCATCTGTGCCATCTGTGTCATCTGTGTCATCTGTATCATCTGCGTTATCTGTGTCACCCGTATCATCTGTGCCATGTGTGTCACCTGTATCATCTGTAGCGCTTGTATCGTCTGAGTCACCTGTTCTATCCGTGTCATCTGTGTCTACTGTCTCAAATGTGTCACCTATACCACCTGTATCATCTGTGTCTATTATGTTACCTGCATCATCTGTGTCACCTGCATTGTCTGTGTCACCTGTATCATCTGTGTCACCTGTATTATCTCTGTCACTTGTATCATTTGAGTTACCTGTACCATCTGTATTATCTGCGTCACCTCTATCGTCTGTGTCACCTGTATCATCTGTGTCACCTGTATCATCTGTGTCACCTGTATCATCTGTGTGATCTGTGTTAACTGTATCATCTGTGTCACCTGTGTCATCTGTGTGATCTGCGTTAATTGTATCATCTGTGTCACCTGTGTCATCTGTGTGATCTGTGTTAACTGTATCATCTGTGTCACCTGTATCATCTGTGTAACCTGTATCATCTGTGTCACCTGTATCTGCTGTGTGATCTGTGTAAAATGTATCATCTGTGTCACCTGTATCATCTGTATGATCTGTGTAAAATGTATCATCTGTGTCACCTGTATCATTTGTGTGATCTGTGTTAACTGTATCATCTGTGTCGTCACCTGTATCATCTGTGTTACCTGTATCATCTGTGAGAGCTGTTTTAAATGTATCATCTGTGTCACCTGTATCATCTGTGTGATCTGCGTTAACTGTATTATCTGTGTCACCTGTATCATCTGTGTCACCTGTGTCATCTGTGTGATCTGTGTTAACTGTATCATCTGAGTCACCTGTACCATCTGTGTGATAGGTGTCACCTGTACCATCTGTGTGATAGGTGTCACCTGTATCATCTGTGTCACCTGTATCATCTGTGTCGCCTGTATCATCTGTGTGATCTGTGTTAACTGTATCAACTGTGTCACCTGTATCATCTGTGTCACCTGTGTCATCTGTGTGATCTGTGTTAACTGTATCAACTGTGTCACCTGTATCATCTGTGTCGCCTGTATCATCTGTGTCACCTGTGTCATCTGTGTGATCTGTGTTAACTGTATCAACTGTGTCACCTGTATCATCTGTGTCACCTGTATCAACTGTGTCGCCTGTATCATCTGTGTGATCTGTGTTAACTGTATCATCTGTGTCACCTGTATCATTTGTGTGATCTGTGTTAACTGTATCATCTGTGTCGTCACCTGTATCATCTGTGTGAGCTGTGTTACTGTATAATCTGTGTCACCTGTATCATCTGTGTCATCTGCATCAAATATATCAGCTGTGTCACCTGTATCTTCTGTGTGATCTGCATCATCTGTGTCCTCTGTTTCAAATGTATCATCTGTGTGAACTGCATCATCTGTATCATCTGTGTCACCTGAGTCACCTGTGTCACCTGTTTCACCCCTATCGCCTGTGTCACCTGTGTTATCTGTATCATCTGTGTCACCTGTGTCACCTTTATCGTCTGTGTCACCTGTATCATCTGTATCATTTGTGTCATCTGTATCAACTGTGTCACCTGTGTCACCTGTATCATGTGTCACCTGTATCATCTGTGTTACCTGTTTCACCTGTCTCATCTGGGTCACCTGTACCATCTGTCTTATCTGTGTCATTTGTGTTGCATGTATCATCTGTGTCACCTATGTCACCTGTGTCACCTCTATCAACTGTGTCACCTGTATCATCTCTATAGTCTGTATCACCAGTATCATCTGTGTCATATGTATTATCTGTGTCACCTGTATCATCTGTGTCACCTGTATCATTTGTGTCAACTGTGTCATCTTTGTTACTTGTATCATCCGTGTTACCTGTATCTTTTCTGTGATCTGTCACTAAATATAAGTTCGTAACACTGTATAGATTTGTCACGGACTATTAGTTCGTAACACAATATAGCTCTCTGTCACTGTAACCTTGTAACACTGTATAGTTTTGTCACTAAATATAACCTTGTAACACAGTATAGTTCTGTCACTAAATATAAGTTCGTAACACTGTATAGTTCTGTCACAAGATTTAGGTTTGTAACACAGTTTAGTTCCGGTCAACTACTGTCAACTGTGGATATTAAACAACGTACATATTGTCAACTTTTCTTAGTTTAGTTGTTGATGTCTCTCCGTCTGTTTGTATTGTGTGCGTGTCACCGTGACCTACAGAAGGACCAAGGGAGGCGGGGTCGTCCTTCTCCCTTCTCCGGGTACTACATAAAGCTCTGGTTCACTACGAAGTTCACATTAATATTCCCCGCATAGAGGAGCGTCACTGCGGGTAAAAAGACTTGTCTTAACGCTGGCCACCACAACAGTATCATAGCGGGCAGGAGGCGAAAGTCGAGCGCTGTTAATTGCTCACACTGTCGTTGTTTTAGAGGCGACGCGAACACATGCCTGAGGTAGCTGCTAAGAACGAGGGATTGGGAGGTAGAGGGGAACGTCTGGCGCTGTTTATTGCTCGTAGTTGCGTTGCCTTTACGGTGTTGGCCTTAGTGTAAAGTTTGATATTGCAGCGACCCTCCCTCGTGATGGTGGTCAACGTGGTATGGTGCGGCTCTATTAGTATCAGCAAAGTATGGGGTGGTTCTATGAGGGTCAGCATGGTATGGTATGGCTGTAATAGGGTCAGCATGGTATGGTGTGGCTCTATTCGGGGACAGAACAATTGGTGTAGCTCTATTAGGGAGAGAGTAATGGGTTTAAGAAAGGGAAGGAGAAGTGGGGAGATGGTAGGCGGGAAGATGAGACGTAAGAGAGAGAGAGAGAGAGAACGCTAACTGTAACACGAATGGCGGTTGATGTCAGAAGAAAGGGATGTTTAAAGAGTGTAGAAGGGGACGTGGAGGGGGCGTAGGGGGTGTTATGGGACGTAGGGACGTTGGGGCGTGGGGGAGAGGCGTGAAGTCTTGAGAGAAGGGGGGGGGGGTACAGTAGAGTCAGCTGACACTGCCAGCACCAGATAAAACACTCTCCCCTATAGGCTGTAACACCCTCCGCGACCGTGTTACAGCTGCCTGATAAAACTTTATTATGTACAGCAACCCTGTGTGTATTTTAAGTGCATGTGCCTCTAGTATACAAGTATGTGTTTATGTGTTTGTTGTTGTACATGTTCGTTTAGTATATATGTGTGTTTGTGTTTGTTGAGTGTTTGTTCCTCAAGTATACAAGTAAGTGTTTATGTGTATGTGGAGTGTATGTTCCTCTAGTATACAAGTATAAGTATGTGTTTATGTGTGTGGAAATATGTTCCCTATTAGTATGTAAAATATTTATGCGTTGGTATGCATTTGTGTGTGTACAAGTATGTGTTTATGTGTGTGTTAAGAGGCATCCATAAATGTATTGGAATGATTCATGGGTGTAAAATTATGCGTTGCTGTGCGTGAGTAAAAGGTTCAGCACTTACACACAGGAAATAAAACAAAACCCTTTATCACACACACACCCACATCCTTGATCACCGACGGGTCAAGACGGGTCAGACGCACCTGGCGCTGCTCAGCAGCAGCCACGTCAACTGCTATGTTGGCCCATACCAACTTCCTCCCCTGAACCCTCCTCCCCACCGGAATATCAACAAGTTCTCGCCAGAAGTTACTATTTCATTTGGGAAAGGAATGGAACCAGTGTTGAATAGTGGTGAACAGTGCTTTTGTCTGTGAAAAACAACTCGGCAGTTGAGTCTGAGCCAAGCTAACCTTCACACAGTGAGACTCCACAATAGGGAGGCCTGGGACCACACCTCACCCACTTGAGTAAGTGAAGTCCTGTGACAACAGATCACGTGGTGTCCCCATGATGCACGACACCATGTAGTGAATGAGTTGCAGCATCATGTGAAGTTCCTCATAACACCATCTGTGAGGGAATTACTACACTATATAAGAACATAAGAACATAAGAATGGAGGAAACTGCAGCGGGCCTATTGGCCCATACTGGGCAGTCCCGTTTACACCCAACCCCTATTGCTCATATGAGCATCCAACCCATGTTTGAAGCTATTCAGCGTATTCGAGTTAATGATGATATTTGGTAACTTGTTCCATTCATCCACTACTCTGTTTCCAAACCAGTGTTTACCTATTTCACGCCTAAATCTAAATTTGTCTAATTTAAAACCATTGTTACGAGTTCGCTGCTGGTTGGATAATTTGAGTACCTTTGTAATGTCCCCTTTGTTTAGCCCTGCCTTCCACTTATACACCTCTATCAGGTCGCCCCTCGCTCTACGTCTCTCAAGGGAGTGCAAATTAAGATGCTTTAACCTGTCTCTATACTCAAGGTTCCTAATGCCGGGATTAGTCTTGTCATTCTCCTCTGAATTCTTTCCAAGGATTCTATATCCATTCTGTAATACGGTGACCAGAACTGAACTGCGTAATCCAGGTGTGGTCTCACAAGAGCAAGATACAGTTTTAGGATGACCTCGCTAGTCTTGTAACTAACACTCCTTTGTATGAACCCAAGTACTTTATTAGCCTTGTTACGAGCAAAAACACATTGTTTACTTGGCTTAAGGTTCCTACTTATCATTACTCCTAAATCTCTCTCGCAGTAGGATTTCTCTATGGCATCGTTGTTCATCTGGTATCTGGTTTCCCTGTTTACATCTCCTATACTGAGTACTTTACATTTGTCGACGTTGAATTTCATCTGCCATTTTTCAGACCATTCGAAAAATTTGTTTAGATCTTCCTGTAGTTTTGTCGAGTCCTCGTCAGATTTGATAACACGTCCTATTTTAGTGTCATCAGCAAATTTACTTATGTTGCTGTCTATGCCGATATCTATGTCGTTTATGTATATAATAAACAATAATGGTCCAAGTACTGAGCCTTGGGGAACTCCACTTGTGACGTTGCTCCAATGGGACTTAGTGCGTTAATGCTCACTCGCTGTTTCCTGTCCTGTAACCACGCCCTAATCCATTTAAGGATGTCACCTTTGATGCCATGAGCTTCTACCTTTCTAATTAGTCTTTCGTGGGGGACTCTGTCGAAGGCTTTACTAAAGTCGAGATATACCACATCATAATTGTGCCCCTCGTCCACCGATTCAAAAACTGATGAAAAGAATGTTAATAGATTAGTTAGGCAAGAACGTCCGCTTGTGAAGCCATGCTGGGAATCATTGATCAATCGGTGCTTCTCCAGGTGATTTCGAATAGAGTTTGAAATGATTGCTTCCAGTAATTTGCCTACTATTGATGTTAGACTGATTGGGCGGTAGTTAGAGGATAGTGATCTATCCCCCTTCTTGAAAATCGGTACTACATTCGCTATCCTCCAGGATTCTGGTACTACACCTGTTTTTAAGGACATGTTAAACAACTTTGCTAAGGGCACACTAAGCTCTTCCTTACATTCCTTTAATACTCTGGCAAATATCTAATCGGGACCAGGTGACTTATTAGGCTTTAATTTGTCTATTTGCTTACTAACATCGTTACTAGTCACTACTATCTCACTTAATTTGTTTTCTTCACTATCTCTGAATAGAGTCGGTGCCTCGGGTATAATGTTTAAATTTTCGGTGGTGAAAACTTTTGAAAAATATTTATTCAAATTATTGCTCATTTCTCCGTCGTTATCAGTGAGCTCGCCGGAGTCTGACCGTATTGGTCCAATCTTTTCTCGTGTTTTAGTTTGATACATTTGGTAGAATCCTTTGGGGTTTGTCGCCTCCTTTGCTATCCTTACCTCATTATTCCTCTTTGCTTTTTTATCTCGGTTTTAACCCTACCGCCAATACCCTATAATAGTCCCGGAGGTGAATTTCGCCACGATTTATCCTTCTACCTATAGCCTTTTGGCCAATGATGTTCTTTAAAGAATTATTTATCCATTTAGGTCATTATTGTCTGATCTGGAGTTTTTTGTTGGTATGTTCTTGCCTTTTGTGCATTAAGTAACTCACTATTTAAATTGTCGTGAATTGCAACTTCAGATCCTCGTTATCAGGTCGGTGTCATCTGTCAGGTTCACGGCCAAGCGCGACACCCCCTCTCTCAGCTGCCTCTTTAAACTGTCAAAGTTTGCCCTTCTGAAATCTGGTACTTTAGTGGAATTTTCCTTACGTCTGCCCTGAAAATCTAACTGGAATCGAATTTCTTTGTGATCGCTGTTTGCAAGTTCGTTCCGTACCTCGACATTGCTAATGAGGTTTTCTCTGTTCGACAGAACTAAATCCAGTATATTATTACCTCGTGTGGGTTCGGTTATATGCTGACTTAGGAAACAGTCCTGGATCGTCTCGAGAAAATCCTCTGATTCTCAGTTGCCCGTAAGGTCAGTCCAATCTATTTGGCCAAGGTTAAAGTCGCCTACTATACAGACTTTGATGTGTATGGAAGCCCTGCGCATTTCATCCCAGATAAGTCGCTCATTGACGATATCAAGATTGGGGGGTCTATATACTACTCCTGTGATTAATTTTTCCCGACCGTCGCTAAATTCTATCCAAATTGTTTCTGTGTTCCTCTCAGTTTTTATTTCCTTATTTATTTCACACTTCAGATTATCCCTAACATAGATTGCTACTCAGCCTCCTTTCCTGCTCTGCCTATCGGTATGG